GCCACTGGTGTCCCCTCCTCTTGCTGGGCACTTGCTGTGTCACTAGATTTGGGTGCACGGGGAACGAGGCAGGGAATTTTGGCCAGGGAGGGGAGAGGATGACTCAGGGGGTTGGTTTATTCCCACACTTGGCTTTTCAGGAGCCCATTTCCGACCCTGTTCTGCTGCCGCTGCTGCCCAGGAGCACCCCAAGCATCACAGGGCTTGCAGAGCCCATGGGGTGCTGCCAGCCTCCGAGGCACGATTCCTGTACCTGTGTGCCCAAATGAACTAACGGGGCTGTGCTAACGGGCGGGAGGAGGGAGGTGGCTCAGGGCCACTGGCTGTGGCCACGTGTCCTCTGGGAGAGCCGGTGCCAGCGGGTGCTGCGAGCGCCTCAGCCCTGGCTGCCAGGAGTGCAGCTCCGAGTGCTGGGACCTGTGCTTGGCTCTGGGCTGGGGCTGTTTCCTGCCCACTGTTACAAAATACTTCGGCACTGGGGAGGTAAATGAGTCACTGGCGTCACTGGGAACGACTCCCCACCAGCAGTTTCAATTGGTCTCTTGAAAAAGCTCCTGGTTCCCTTTCTGAGCCTGGCCCAAACAAAAATAAACACTGAATCAGCAAGTGCTCTGGGTAGCAAACCCATTTCTCCTATCGCCTGAGCGAGCCCTGTCCCCTGCCTGGCTCTGCGGAGCCCCACCAGCATGCTTTGTCATGCCACTGGCAGAGGTGGCACGAGCGGTGTCCGACCTGCAACCTCCTTTGGCACATCATCTGGAGATCCCTCAGGTGGGGAGCATTCTGCTGGGGGTCCGAACACCTCTCCCCACCACCTGTCTTCCCCAGGTGAAGAGTGTGACTCCTGCTGCCCCCGCTCACCTGTGCTCCAGCCCCGCTGGGACCACCTGCAGCGCACTGCAGCCAAGCGCCGGGGAAAATGGTGGCTGGAGAAGACCATGGCATCAGGTATCTGTCCCCACAGAAGGAGGACCAAACCCCTGCCCACCGGGCCCTGCTGAAAAGCCTGCCAGGGTCTGCTGGGATGCAGGGAGGAGAGGAAGGGAGGGAGCAGTGAAGCAACTGGCAGGCAAGCCCAGTCCAGGCAGGAGCCAGCTCGGGTTTAGCTCTGTCTCTGGCTCGTTTCACTTCCCTGTCTCCATTTCCCCCATGTGTGGAAGGGGACAGGGTTGCTGGATGAAGTCCTTTGTTAAGTGTGTTCAAATCAGCTGTTGAGAAAAGTAGAGCCTTTTCTTTCAAAGAAAAGCTCATTCATTACATGTCCAGCCTTGGGCCATTCTTTTCTACTGCTAACTATAAATAAGGATTATAATTCTGCGTGTAAATAACAGTTTATTTGACTGACTAGCAAAGCTGGCTCAATAAAAAGAACTGTGGAGTATAGTTATGGTCACAGAAGCGACTTACAAAAGCCACTGCACGTTCCAGCTCCAGATCTCTGGGTATGTGTTTGTCGTACAAGTCCAATCTGATTACTGACAAAAACTGGTTTTTAATCTTGTTATCCCTCCACAGCTAATACAGCTGTGGAAGAGCAAGCTGGAATTTTATGTGCCTCAGCCTTCATTAACATAATTAGCAGCTAAAGTTTGAGTTCCTGAATCCTTTATAGCAATAGCTGATGATGTGTGAAGCAGAGAGAATGCAACCTACGTTTCAGATACTGACCAGAGCAGGCAGGGGAGAAAAATCTCATTTTGTGTGTCAAAGTGATGAGCAAAGAGTTTTGCAAGCCCTTGGCTCTCCTGCACTGGGGAAGTGGTCTCGCTCTGAGGTCTTCTCAAAAAAAGTCTCTGTGTCACGGGGTCATCCTGCTACCACATCTGCTCAGTGAGGGTCTGTCCCCTCACCTCAAAGCCACTCCAGTACTGGAAAGAAGCCAGTCATCAAGAGTATCATGTAGTTAGGACACATCAATCCCATGGATCTTGCCTCCAACCTTGAGCATGATTTTTGGGTGATATGAAATTCACACAATCCCCAGCCAGATCTGCAGTGCAACCCATGGGCTTTGCTTTCAGGTGGCATGGTTAGGCAGAATATCATAGACCTCTGCCACAAAATTTGACAGCAGCTCTTGTGTGTCCCCTCTCCTTGCTAGGTAAGGCTGGGGCATTGGAGCCAAACAGCCCTGCTACAGAGGCAGCAGAAGGCTCGCCGGACCCCTCCTTGTTGCTGCAGGCTGTCGGGGAGGGCTTTCCACCAGGTAAGACACTGCTTTTGGCATCACCCAGATTTCCAGTGGTTGAATGTAGCAAGGCCTGGCACTGCAGCTAACCGACCCCCTGTTATCCCTTGAGTTTCTCATCTTTGTTGCTGGAGGGGGAGGATGGACTGGGTTTGTGATTTTTGAGCATCGCAACCAGGCGAGGGCTGGAGGCACTAGTGGGGCTGGCTGCAGGGAGGCAGTGTGGCAGAGGCAGCTCTGTGTGGCATGGAGCTCCTTCTCCCCCTTAATCCTGCACATTTCCTTCTCAAGAGATTTCACTGCTCTTCTCTGTTGAGAGCCGCTCCTCCCAGTGCCTCAATTCCCAGCTCCAGGAAGCAGCCAGAAAGAAGCTGTGGGCCCTGGAGAGTGATGACAGAGACATCCGTGCCCTGTTCAAGGTAGGAGCCCCAGCCTGGCAGGGCAGAGCATGTACTGGGAGGCTCCTGGCATGATGGGATGTGTGATGGGACACCAAACACAGCTGAGAAAGAGACGTTCCCCCAAGGCCGCTGCAGGGTGTGTTCCTGCACATGGGGACTCTGTAAGGGACTGGAATGATGGAGAAAATGAACTGGTAACAGGTGAGAGGCAAATGCAAAGCTGAGCCTCATGCCAGGAGCCTCATATTGGAGACTCTGAGCTGCCTGAGGGATCATGCAGATAGCCCCGGGGTGAGTCTAAATAGCCAGCATTTTACAAGGCTGGGATCACCAAGGCTGTGTTGCTAGACTCAGGTCTCCAGTGGAGGTGGCATCTCTGGATATGCACAGTGTTCTCAGAATATTTGGCTTCATACAGAAAAATCACTACAGGTATAGAGACATTTTCTGGACTGAACTCTCTTTCACTGCTGGTTTTTAAGGCCCTGGCCCCCCAGGGGTCCCTGCAGAGCTTCCCAAAAGACCCAGAAGGGTGCAGACATACTAGTGCCAGCAATAGCGAAAGGAGAGCTTCTCCCTCAAGGCACAGTTACTGCTTTCAGCCTCAGAGCTGCAGTTTGGAAGCTGTGCCTGTCCTAACGGAACATTAACCCTCCCATGGTATGGTGGTTCAGGTGTCTGGGTTTCAAAGCACAGTTGTTCTGGTGTGCGCCATGGGGGAAAAGATTTGAAAGAGGAGATGGAGCTTCTTTGCCCTCCCACTGCTGCACCATGGGGAGCTGTCACTGCGGGTACTCCATCCCTCCCGGCTGAAGGACTCAGCTAGTTGAATCACCCTCCCCTTAACCCCAGGCAACCAACTCGCACAGCTTCGGTCTCAACTATCCTAATAAATGAGTGCCTAGTCTCATTCCAGGGTCTAATATTATTCCCACACTGACAAAGGAGACCCCCTGTCAGAGTCCCAGGACCATCCCTTAACCTTGCTTTGTCTTCCATGTGTAGGAGCTGTCAGCCAGGCTGGTCTGTGTGCAAGCACAGGAGGATCAGTTCCTCCTCACCTTCAAAACCGTAGAAGAAGTCTGGAAGTTTTCCACATATCTGACTTTAGGTAATGTTTTCAATGTGTGGGAGACCTAAACAGACGGTGTGAGAAGCATTTTTGGAGAAGGTATTCTTTCACACCAAAAAACCAGTAATGTAACAGATAAAGAATTTCAATTAGAAGAGCTTGCTTTCATGAAGTGAGAGAGACCCAGGAGGATGCCTTTTGGGTGAGGCCTCTACTGCATTTTGGGAATGGAGACAGAATTAAGAGGCTGTTGCCACACAACATGGTTGCAGATGGTAGACTGGGAGACATCCAAACAGCACTTCATTCTGCCCAGTGAAGGAGGGTGCTAACAGTGCTTTCCCTCTTGGTTTCTTAGGGTATGTGGGCAGCTGCTTGGAGCAGCTTCTCTTTGACCAGGAGTACTGGCTAAACTGTGCTCTGATGGAGGACACAGAGATCAGAGTTACTGTGGATGAAGATCGCTTGGCCACCATATATATGGGTCTGCTACTCCACGAAGGTGATCAGGGACTGCATATGTAGGGAATTCCTCAAAAGCATCTCAGCAGGGCTGTGTTGTAGTCCTTTGCTGGGCTATGTCTTGCACTGATGCCATTGACCTAGGCATGACTCTTTCTATCTGCAGGTAACTTTTTTTCCAGAGCACTGCATGGTGTCTGGCAGCTGGAGCAGGAGGGAGAGGAAGGCCTGCAGCTCTGCAAGAATGAGCTGATCCATGTGAAGAATGTTGGAGAGGACTCTAAGTGGGAAGGGATGTCCTTACTGACGGGTCAGCGAGGCTTGGTGCCTGTGACAGCTCTAGAGCCAATACCTCAGCCATTTTACCAGTAAGTAGACTGGCTAATTAATAATGCTCAAGCCAAGATTCTTTCCTGATCCTGACGCATGAGCTAGCACCAAGCCTGGGGTGAGAAACTGCTTTGCCTCTGGCAATGGGCAAGTGCTACATAATTTTGTGAGGATATACATTATGCATAAAGATAACCGCTGGAACGAATTCAGGTCCTGTTAATGGGAGAGAGTAAGGACATACTTCAGATATCATTCTTGTATGATATTGATTTAGGTCATACATGAGGTTATTTGTGATTTACAGGTGAATAACTGGGAGAAAAATCATAGCCCAAGACTTAGTTAATGCCAGTCCCAGTGGGGCCTCATGCTGGACACCAGACTGAGCTTCAAAGACACCCCCAGCTCCTCTTATACTCACATGGTGAAATCCTCCTTACAGGCTGGCAAAATTATCCTGGTCTTACCATGTGGTGTGAGGCTGCAGTCATGAGGTGCAAACTGCCCTCTGTGCCCAGTAACACCATTACAAGGAATTACAGGACTGGCCATGCTGGCCATGCTCCATAGCAGCTCTGGCACTCCCAGGGGACAGAACATCTGTCCTGCTTGTATGAGACCATCCCTGGTGGTGGCCTGAGGACAGGACTGCTCAGAGAGGACCAGTGTGGTTCCCCTTTGCCTTGCAGGTGGTTCCTGAAGAATTATGCTGTGAGTTTTGGCGTCTCCCAGGAGATCAGTGGGATGACCTCTCAGCCAATTGGTGAGTGACACCTGTGCAACGCAGCTACCCTTCCCAGGGAAGAGCACAGCTCTTGCAAACCTGGGTTTGTCCACAAATGCAAAGGGCCCATCTCTTGTTCTGGCAATGACACTCCATTGCAAGGTGCTCTGAGGGAATAGTGCATCTTTGGGCTCTCCTGAATGGAGAACAGAGCTTGAAAATTGCATGTACTTAGAAAGGCAATCTGAAGAACACAGAGGGCAGAGGGGTGCTGATGGCATCCTTCTGCCACTGGGTTTTTCTATTCTACTGCAATTTTGTCTCTCCTCTAATTCTTTCAGGACTGAAGTTTTAAATAATTAGGCTCCCACAAGTGTGCACATGAAACTTGTGCCCATCACTCACCTATTAGCCCCAGGCCATTCCTGCCTGGCCATGGGCACTGTTCAGAGCATGCTGGACATGGGAGGTCACTGAAGGTGTGCATTTGGTGTGTAGTGTGATGGATGTTTGCACTGTTAAAGATTTTACTCCTGGCAGAGAGCTGAGACAGTGCAGCTTCTGTGGAGCTCCATGTTTCCAGCCACCTTCCATACTGCAGCTCTCAGAAGTTTGAGTCTTTGGCTGTGTGGTGTTTATCCATGCCTCTTGTATATTTTATTATAATCCTATTCTCAAGAAGAAACTGCAGAGATCTGAGTCTGAGAGCACAATAAATCTTAGGGGACAGAGGGGCAGCCTTCTCAAGCTGAAATCATGGTCTCTCCTTGCCCAAGACTTTTCCAGTGAGGAAGTTTTAATGGTGGCCTCACACTGAAATGCCCTTGTTTGCCTTGATTTCCCAGTCAAAGGCAGGTGCACAGCCACAGAGGACCACAGAGGAGCAGCATGGGATGAACTGAGTTTCTCCAAAGGAGACAGCATAGAAGTCATTGGCTTCCTCATTCCAGGACTCCCATGGTTTGTGGGCAAATCCCTCAGCAGTGGGGTCATCGGCTTTGTCCCAGCCCGATACATAAATCCTGAGGCTTGCGAACCTCTGTAAGTTTACTGCTACCATCTAGATTAATTTAAACTCAGGAGAAAGTGAAGGGAAGACTCCAAGTCCAAACTCAAGGCTATGTGACAGTTTAGGACGGGTAATTTGCTTTGCCAATAGGCCGCAGGAGTCTCTGCCCAGACAAAGCAATCATATTTCACTTGCCTCAGGTGATTCTTGGAGAGGAACAGATCTAGCCCTGGGCTAGACCTGGCTTTATGTTAAGGCAGCCTAGGACATCTGTGTACCAGACGAGCTGGCTTCACAGTTTCACCTAGAAATGTTCTTATCTTTGTAGCTTTGTCTGAGGGGCTGTGAATCTGGCAAGTACAGGAAGAGTGATCACTGACAAGGAAACCAAGTCCTGCTTTGCTCCCTTCTGCCCCTTTGCTTTCTGTGGGATGTCAAGGCAGAATGACCACTGGCACAGTTCCTCTCTGAGCAGAATTAAACACCCTGCCAAGGACACAGACAAGAGTTATCCAGGGAGGGAGGGTGACACAACCCCACTCTGACGACTCAGGCAGTTGTCTTTGTTGGTGGCTTAAAGACATATCTCCAGTTCAATACCCATCCAAAAAGACTTCTCCTCCAAGAGGGTGTGTGGGAAGATGGGGTCGTAACCTGTTCCTAGGTCTTTTGGGCTTTCCTGGGTCAGTCTCACTCAAGGTAAATCTTAGGCACTTTTCTCTGACAGTACAGAGAACAGAGAGGACATCAGATGATGCTCTGGCCTCAGAAAGGGCTTCTGGAGAAAAAAAAGACCAATATGTCCCTCCCTCTGGCACCCATCGGTTTCTCCATGGAGAAGCTGGATCTGATAGCCCTGATGGGGAGGGTGTCCAGACTCTGGTATCCATCTGCAGCAGAGCTTTTCTAGTGGGAGGAAGAGGAGGGATGGGAAAGCCCATCTCTATCCCACAGGACAGCTGTAGTGTCAGGGAATGGAGAGACACTGACTGTTTTCCCCTGATGTCTGCCTCAACCTAGGGAAAAGGGCTTGGTGTTTCTGAGTGAAGAAGAAAAATCCCGCCTCCTGTGCATACCCTGCAATGGTGGTGAGCAGCACTTCACCACCCTCCTCGGTGACCTGGCACACACTGACATCACCTCTGTGTACCGGCTGGGTGAGTTTCCCCTCTCCTTAAATGCTCAGCCCCATGGCTCCCCAGGGAGAGCAGTGCTGGGCAGTGTCTAGAGAGCTCCTTGCTCAGGGCTTTGCAGGGGAGACAACTGCTGTGCTTGAGACAGCTTCCAAACCCTCTCTCAGCCTGGTCGTGGAGGTTGTAGATACCCTCAAAAGAGCTGGGCCTTGCCACACTGCAGTTTGCAGGGGTCTTTGCTTCCAGGGCAGCTCCTCAGCTTTTGTAGCTTTGGTTCACCCTGGCAGATGCTGCTCTCAACTGATCCTGGCTGTAGGTCCCTGCCTACAGCAGATCCCCTGCTGCTGTCTGACCTTTGGGTGTATATTGAGGGGGATGCACAGCTAAAGTGGCAGGTGACATCGTCTCCATGCCCACAGCAGGAGCCAAGAGGTCAGGGTTCCTGGGTACTCTTCTCAGTTTCTCTATGCTTGCTGTGTGGCTTTTGGACCACAGCTAATTTCTCTGTCTCCATTTCTTGCCTTCTCACTACCTAGAAGCACAATGCAGCCATGCAGGGCTGAGCCTGGGATCCCCTGGGATTCAGGGAACCTCCCAGACCAGCCAGCTCAGGTGCAATGAGCCTGGGGTAGAGCCTGTCAGAGATACATACATATCTGAAACCTCTGAATAGACACAACAAGGCTCTTAAGAAAAGACAGAGCTGATAAAACTCTACCTGTGAAAAATAAGACCTGCTTGTTCCCAGGTAACTATAACGTTACCGGTGCTCACCCCACCACCAGCTAAAAGCTGTTCTCCATGGTCTTACATGGTTGAAACTGCAGCTGTGTGTGGTGTTTGCGGCCAGAAGGGAGCCTCTTCTCCCTCATATGGGTCTGGGGTTTAGCAGAGCAGCAGGAGATCTCTATAAGGTTTGAGCACTATTTCTGCATATTATACTGACCAAGGCTTTGGACTTTTTGTTTTCTGTTTGTCTCTTTGTGTAGATGGTTTTGAACCTACAGCCATGTTCCTGAAAGTGCCATCAGGTGAGTATGTGGAGGGGACAGAATGGGATGCTTTTGTGATGACTTCTGAGGGTGAATTTTGACATGGGGAAACATCCCACTATGGGTTGCCTGTCCCTTACAGAGGCTGTTCTCCGTGGCTGTAAAGATATCCAGCTGCTCCAGTCTTGGGAGGAAATAAATGGCTTAGCTACAACTAGCACCTCTGAACTGTCTAGCCCAGGGAGTGAATCAGCCCCTGCTACGTTGGAAGATGTTCTCCTGGAGAAGCTGGATGATTTTGAAGATCCCAAGTTTTTTATTGACCTGAATGCTGGGCACATGGAAGATGCTGATGTCTTTAACCCCATATTGACCTTCCTTAACCAAGACAGTTATGTGCCCAGTTTTCAAAGCCTCTATGATCTCAGTTTTTCCTTTCTCCATTCCACCTTTTATGGTTTCTCTGATGAGGATGAACTGGTCTTGTATCTTGAGACGTCCAGGAACTGGGCCAAGAGGACTCATTCAGTTTGGGCTCATGTCAGGCTCTGTTTCCTCTTGGGTAAGCTCTGCATCAAAAAGGTCAAGTTCTCCCAGGCTCGAGTCTACTTTGAGGAAGCCATGAGCATCCTGGACAGGGGTTTTGGGGACCTGCCCCTGCTCGCTGCGTTGCACGTGAACCTTGCCTCCATCTACTTGAAACAGAATATGAAGCACAAGTTCTCCACCCTGCTGGGAAAAACTGTGGCCTTGCTTGTCTGCTTGCCTGGCCACTCTTTCAGCTCTGAGAATGAGCTGGAAGTCATGATGTACATCCTGAGGGAAGCCATTGCTGTGGGTAATGCTCCCTTGGAAGCACGGGTCTGCTTCCTTATTGTCAAGCTCTTCCTACAACTGGGCAAAAATGATGAAGTGCTGCCCTTTACTGAGCATCTTCAATGTCTCACCACCACTTTACTCAGCCCGGACACTAGTTCTGTGCCGCTGGATGCCACCCCCATCTTGAGCTATCTTTATGACAAGAAGTACTTGCCAAATATTGCACTGGCGTCCGCCAGGTCGTTTGTTCCCAGTGGCATCAAGGGGGCACCAACACCCATCTGGAGAGCTGGCTTCATCCTCCAAAGTACTTCCAAACTCCTGGGAAGCCAACTGGAGAGGAACGGCATACCAGCACTGGCTTGTTTCTATCTCAAGCAAGCACTGCATTTCTCCTGTGAGAGCAAAGCTGTGCCCATCCAGAGGATGCTGTGTGCCATCTTGTCCAGGATGTACCTCCAGCATGGTGTGTTGGATGGGGCGGTTTGTTATGCGGCCACAGCCGTAACCCTCAGCAGACTGATGGGCGAGGAGGAGGCTTTTGAGTCTTCCCTCTCTTTGGGGTGGATGTATCTCCTGAACAGTCAGCCAGGCCCAGCTGCAGACATCATGTGGCAGCTCTTGCACTCCCTGCACGGGACGGACAGCGTGACTCAGGGGGGAGCTGTGCACAATCTCCTGGCCATTGCCCTCAAAGGAGAAGGGCAGGTGCAAAAGGCTGCCGAGAACTACATCCGGGCCCTGCACAAAGCCAAGGAGACTGGGAACAAGAGGAACCAGGCTATTGCCCTGGCTAACCTGGGGCAGCTGAGCCTCTCACATGGGGCAAGCCAGCTGTCTGAGCTCTACCTGCTCCAGTCGGCTCAGCTCTATGCTGAGCTCCAGGGCAGCGAAGACCTGGAGATGGAGTTGGTGCGAGTGCTGCTGTGGCTAGCGCAGGCCATGGTGAACAGGCAGAGGATGGAAGATGGAAAACTGTGTTATGAACTGGCATTGGTTTTTGCCCTGAAGTGGCATAACGTGAGGAGTGAGTACAGCTTTGCTGGTGGGAACCGGGGCAGTGTTCACCTCTGTGCAGCACCCTGCCAGGTCACTAATGCAGCCCCCTGACCTGTCCTTTTCCCTTCCCTGTACCATGCAGGTCAGCTTCACATCACTGAGTCTCTCTGCCATTTCTACAGCAAAGTGTCCCCCAATGTCCAGGCCTGCATTACCTACCATGAGCACTGGGTATCTTTGGCACAACAGCTCCAGGACAGAGAAATGGAAGGCAATGTCCGTCAGACCCTCAGCCAGCTCTACCAGGCTTTGGGCACATCCGAGTAAGTCCTGTCTGTGTGTAGATGCTGTTAGAGTGGGGTCCCTGCTCACCCAAAGCAAGAGCAGTGGCTTTCCTAGGGTGTCCCTTGAGAGAAGTGGGGAAGGTGTGTGGTAGCTCTAGCTGCCCCACAGGCAGGCTGTGGGTTAGTGAGCTGCTGAGATTTGTGAGCTGTTGCTGTGCAGTGAAGAGGGGAACAGTTCAATGTCAACCAGAGAGCTGCGACAGCTGGGCAAATGCCAGGCTGTTAGCTGGGACAGAACTGGGGTCTGGCCAAACACAGTTTTCCAGAGAGACATCCAGCCTTGATCAGAGAGGACCCAGCGACAGGGAATTCATCACTTCCTTTGGAGGCTTATTCCAGTGATTAATCACCATTCAGTAAAAATAGGTTCCTTATCTGTTATTTGAATAAGTCTGGCTTCAGCCTCCAGCCACTGAGTCTGCCCTTCCTATCTCTGCTGGAATATTTTCCCCAGGGAGGTACTTAAGATCCTATATCAGCTCACCTTTCAATCTCCTGCTTGACATATGCAGGTGACTGATTAGATTAGGCAGGAGGGGAGAGAAAGAGACCTGGACAGACCACACTTTCTTCAGTCTTTGAAGGCAAACATGTCAAATAGTGGAGACCTAGCTCCCATGTCTGAGAAGGACAAATGGGCAGGGGCTGTCATTAACTTCAATGCTAACCTTCCCATGCTAGGTCACAGTGAATTCAGAGGGAAGGAATTTATGAAGCAGACACCTGTCATGTGAACGGTGCTATTTAAGATCACAAAGCACCCCACTCCCTGGACTCGAAGGACAGTTGGACCCCAGTTGCCAGTAGGCAAGACACCAAGCAAACAAACATGCCCTGGGCACTGCCTGGCGCTCCCTTCACCACAGCTGCCTTCTGCAGGCAGCGTGTCCAACCCACTGGCTTGTCCTGCTGCTTGTCCCTTTGTCCTCTAGTGACCAGGGGCTTGAAAAGGAGCTATAAGGTCTTGCACATGTGGCCACAGATCTGCCTCTTTGGCTGCACTGAGGGACAAACAATAGGCAGGGATGTGGTTTTGGGTGCCAGATGCTGTCTGGAAAATGAAGGTGCAAGCACTTCCTGCCTATGCTCCCATGTGTAGCTGGGAGTGACTTTGGGACTTAGTATAGGGGGGCAAATAGGGTTTGCAGATGACCTGGACAAAACCCTCTTTATCAGCTGAAATGAGCAGGGGTGGGGAGCAACCCCTTTGGGAGCGGGCTGCCTTGGGGCTGTGCTGAGCACTGGGGTCCCAGGCTGGTCGAAGGTTGCCAGATGATACATACACATGCACTAAAGCATGGAGACTTCCACAATTTACCAGAGCTGTGGCTGTCCATTTGTCTCTAACTTTTGGCAACTGTAGGACTAGAAGACAGGATTGCCAATGGGGAGGTGTGGTAGCTTTGCAGCTGATTGCTGGGGGTGTCCTGTGATTTCTCTGCAATGGCTTTTTGCCTGTTACTATCACAGGACTTTGAGACAGTCCTTGGACTGCACCAAACAGAGTCTAAGGATCTTCATTGACCTTGAGGAGACTGTGAAAGCAGCAGAGGCCTGGCTGCAGGCAGGAAGGCTCTACTACCTTATGCAGGAAGATGAGCTGGTGGAAATGTACTTTCAGGTATGGAGAAGGTGGCTGGAGTAGACCCATTTTCACCCTGGCTAGCTGCATTCCCACCACAGCTGTGTGGTTTGGTAGGAGCCTTTTGGGGCTGGAACACCTGGAAGGGAAAGTTCTTATGAGCAGTGTAAGCCTGCTGCTGGAAGGAGGAGCTGTTGCCTTACACTCATGCACTATCTGGAACTAAATTTCCTATCTTTCCTTCCATACACTGGGTTTAGAGGATTCCTGGGTGAAAGTAAGTGAATTTATTGAGTAAGAAAGTGATATAGGAGTGCCAAAGGAAGCTGGAGGTGCCAGGTGACCGGTTCCCATTGAAATACACATAGATAAGGGGTAAGGTGCCAGGGAAATACTTGGAGACTTCTTGGAGTAGAAGACTACTGGCTTCTTTCCATCTCTAGCATTATTTTTACCAGCTGAGCTGCAAAGAGGAAGTGCAGCCCATAAAATCTTAGGGCTCCCTCATTCAGGGAGCAGCTTCTATTAAAATCCTTTCATGTGCCCAGAGTAGGCAGAGCAGAAGGCTGGTTGGGTCTGTTGGGGTTGCACTGACCTGGGGTATCCAGCAAAGCACCAGCCTGGACACATGTAAAGGATGTTTTGGGTCCTCACTCTGTTACCACAGAAACACTTCTGAACTGGTGGGGCTGGGTGACTGAGGTACACAGTAGCGGGAACAAGGAGAGAAGCCTTTCCCATCAGCCACAGCAGCCTGCCAATAAATCAGGTTGGTAAAGGCAGGGAGTTACTGGTACTGGGTGGCTGCTCAGTGACCTGAGTGAAATGAGTAGGTGGCTTTGGCATCAGCCTATTTCCTAGTGTTCACCAGGAAGATCTGAGGCCCATAACAAAGAGCCATCATTGCCTCTCTGGCTCATGGTTTCAGCAGGGAGGCAGGGGCTAAAGGAGGGATGACTTCCCATTAAGAAGGGCCAGTCGATACCATATCTCAGCAGGGCATGTCTGAGACCCCAAGGGGCCCCTTCCCAGGCAAGGTCACCAACAATAATAAATTGTCATTGTGTAAGAAACAACGTATTCTGGCTGGAAGGTAGCACCAGGGCCACGTGCATAATTGGCACAAATAACCGTTCTTCCTAGAAGTTAGCATACCTGCCCTCCCTGCTGCTGGCTCTGCCCTTTGTATAAGCTGTCTGTTCCCCTTGTCGATCTTCACGTTGGCTCCATCACACCAATGACAGACCAGGGCCGGGACAGCTGCTGGCTGCACTGCCCTGACTCTAAATCTTGATGCTGTTGGATATCCCAGCTGATCAGTCTGGCACAGGGATGGGTTATCTGGTTCCTGGCTCCATCCTTACACACATCACTTGCAAATGCAGCACAACAGTCCCACACACTTGCTGGCCAACCTGTGTCCATGCTGTTTGGAGCACTGTGGCTCACGTTTACAATGACTTGGTTTTATTTAATCACACCGATGTCTATATGCAGATGTCTCTTTCCAAGTCTCACTCCAGTTCCTTTTCCTTCTAGGCAGCTATTCAGACTGCTCTGAAATCCGAGAACCTCTCCTTGGCCATGGATCTTTATGAAAAAGCAGGGGATACCTTTTTTAATGGCAGCCGAAACAGAAGTCGAGCAGTGGAGTTTTATAGGGTACTGATCCGTCCACGCATTTCTGTCCTTGTGTCCCTGCAAGGTGATGACTGTGGGGAGCTTTGCCCCAGGGCTTGCAACAGCACTGCATGGCCACTGCATGGAGGGATGGAGGGTGGAGAGGGATGGGGTGGTTCTAAGTGTGTCAGAGTGCAAACATTGCTGCAGGGGGGAAGCCTGGAGCACAGACATATTTTACAATGGGTGCAGCTCACCCCAGAGATCATTTGGGAGGTGGGAACAGGGTCCTTACATTACAAATCCTGGCAGTGTTAGGTGTGAGCTGGTCGCTCCTGGGGACATGCTCAGAGTCAGAATTTCAGGCACATAAGGAAGGGCAGAAATGTGAGGCTCAGGTTTTGAGAACCACACTCTGGGATATGAAGCTCATTTTCAAGGGAAAGAAGGGGCTAGAACCTGAACCTGCAGCACTCAACCACCCCATCATCTGCCCACCATGCCAAGCGCTTCGTCCATCTCCTGCTGCTCTATCACCCCTCTGTGGGCAGTGCTGTACCAATACCTCCAGGAACAGCCTGGACTCACTGTTCTTTCTCCTCAGGGAGGTGCTGTGCCCTTGGCCAGGAAACTAAAGGCCATTAAGACAGAGCTACGGCTGTTCAATAAGCTGGCAGAGCTGCAGATTGGGCTGCAGGGCTATGAGAAGGCGCTGGAGTTTGCCACGCTGGCAGCCAGGCTGAGCATCAGGGTCGGTGAGTGATGCACACCCACAGGGTACGGGGAGTTACTGGCTCCCACTGAGGGGTTGCCTTTCTGGGTGAGAACAGTGTGCACATGAAAGGGGGATCTCCTGCTTTCATAAGACCTTTGGACCTCTTCTTATCGTAAGGGGTAACATCTTTTTAAGGCCATTTCCCTTTTTAAACTGCATGACAGCCACATGGGAAAGCTTTGCCATGGTGGTGGTGGGACTGGCTGACTGGAGGGTTGTTGCTACACGGGAAGTCTGATGAAGGCACAGGACTGAACAGTTCCTCCCTACCCTGGCTCTTCTGATAAACTCATCCCTTCCCCAAGAAATCCCCTGGCTGAATGATGTACTCCTTGGGCAATCTGTCCAGCCAGCAACCCTGCCCATGGCTCTATTTTCTCTGGACCATTTTCAAACCCAGTGTCTCCTTATGAAGACATCCATGCCCCCAGGCTGTTGAGCAAATGCATCCCTGAGCGGCTCAGCATGCTGGGCTGGGGATGTATTGCGAGCGTGCTGCAGGCTGACTGTATCAGCAACTCTTTTCCAGGAGACCAGTTGCAAGAGCTGGTTGCTTTCCACCGCCTGGCTACAGTCTACTATTTTCTGCATATGTATGAGATGGCAGAAGATTGCTACCTGAAGACACTTGCCTTGCGTCCCCCCTTGTTGCAGTGCTCTGGAGAGGCCCTCTACTACTCCAAGGTGTATTGCCACCTTGGCAACCTGACCCTTCACAAACTGAAGGTAGGAGACCTCTTTCCATGATGCTGTAATTGAGCACTCTGGTCTTGATGCAGAACTGGGGGTAGAGTATCACATCTGCTGGCAGAGCAGCCACACATGTAGACGGCTGCATGCTGTGACTGTCCATCCTACCTGCAGCTTTAGAATAAATGTGCACAATGTTGGCACAACCAGGTTTTGAAGGGGGAAAGGCAATTTGGAAAGAAGTGCTGGCACTTAGCTGTGACTATATAGAGTCCATTTCAACAAAGTCAAGTGTCACTGGGTTCTGCCTGGAACCACTGGGCTCTGCTCCAGCTCCCTTATACCCTGTGACTTTCAATTAAACCACTTCCTAATGCCTGCCATATCCTTTATGGTTAGGATGAACAGGATGCAGCAGCCTACTTCCTCCTGGCCCTCGCTGCAGCGACCGAGCTGGGAGACCAGAAGTTGCAAGGCCACATTCATGCCAAGCTGGGTGACATCCCTGGTGCACTGCAGGGGCCTGATGGCACGCCGGGCTGCGCCGCATACCGGCCCAGGTGGCTGAGCGAAGGTGGCCACGTCGTCTGACCGACCCGCCACCCCAGGGACTCCAGTATGAGCCATCAAGCAGCATCATGCCGTGCCGTACCGCTGGCACAGGTTCATGTGCTCTCCAGAACAACCGGCCCAGGAGAGGTCCTGCACTGCATCCTAAGGAGCTGGCAGCATTTGATTGTCTTGTCCCCAACAGGCAAGGGACCATGCACTTGGGACCCTGCCCTCATTTTTCAGGAGCAGGGCTGTGCACCGCAGCCCAGGTGGCACATCGAGGCTGGGCATCCGGGCAGGATGAGGCCCCAGTAGTGGTCGTGGAGCGTGCAGTGCAGTAGGCTGAGCAACAGATGGCATTTTGGGAGTGTGGCTGCCCTGCCCAGGACGGGGACAGGAGAGTGCTGCCACGTGCCTGCCTGTCCTCCCCAGCTGCCCCACACACCTCAGGTCCCGTGGGGCAGCTCAGCCCGATGCAAATGTGTTTTAACTTGAATAGCAGCTCCTTTATTTATTCCTATCTGGTTTCTGTCCTTTCTGTTCTGCAGAGGTCTGTGACCCATACCGCTGCAGAGCCCAGGGCCTCTTTGGTACAAAGCACCACCAAAGGTTTTGGCAGTGAGAGGCAGAATTAAGGAAAGGAGGAGGAATGAAAGGGGCTGGTCAAGCCTCACCTGGGGATGAGCCCCATATGCAGGTGGGTGGCTGCTTGGGGTGTGGAGGCAGAGCCCACCCTCACCCTGCCTTTCAGCCTCAGCTCTGGCACTGGAGCAGCCGGGTTGGCCTCTTCTGCCCCACAGCCCATGTGCACTTTCAGCACCTAAAGCATGAGCATGCTGTGTGTCCTGCAAGGTAAAAAAGCCATCAGTCTCCACCTGGCCCAGGCTTTGCAGCCCAGCACCCTCACCAGCCTCACTTCTCCAGGCTTCAGAGCCCACGGGACGCAGGAGCACTGGGGAGTGGATGGTGAGGCTGGGCGCACTGGCTGTGGCACACATCCAGCCCCCTGGGCAGTGGTGCTGACAGGATGCAGGGGGACTTTTGGCAGGGAGAGGCAGCTGCGCTGCCTTTGCATGGGCCATTGGCAGCCCAAGAAGCCGGCTGCCAAGGAGGCAGCAAGCTGCCTTCAAGTGCCCTGAGCTATATGGCTGGAGGGGAAGCAAAAACTCCTCTGCAGAGCGAGCAGGGGGAGCAGGAGGCACTGAGGAGGCTTCTCCTGAGAGCTGCTGCCCAGCACAGGGAGCAGCAGGCAGCTCTCCTCCACAGCCTGTCTCACCACCAGAGAGCAATAAATGCCCACGTTTGCAGCCTCACACGGGCGAGTGCCGCTTCCCGTATAATACCGACCTCGGTTTTCAGTCTGGACTGGTGCAGAGTGAAGAATGAGCAGTTTTTCCAGCTCATCTCTTTACTCTGACAACCAGTGGCCAGACACCCGGGGGAGCTTCACAGGGAGACCCTGTTGCAAGTCCTTCCACCTCCCTGATGCACTCCACTGCATGGAAATGCTAAATGCAGAACATTTATTTCCTTGCTGATCTTTGCAAACGCTGAGTTCATTTTCCCCTTCTAATCCTTGCGAGGCATCCATCACTAGGGCAATGGATAGTTTACTGCTTGTTTACCAAGCATTCC